ATTGCATATTCTTATAGCTTAATTCAAGAGCTTTCCAAAGCACTATAATAATGTTCATTTTTATTACGTACTTTGCGAGTTATGAGGGTTTAACGTTAGAGTACCGCCGGTTTTAACATTATTCAAGGTATACCACATGGAGGTTATTCGCTCGGATTTGCATCTGTTGTGTGTGTGATCCAGTCAACTATAAGGCAAGATCGGTCATGGATCCAGCCAACTAGGACAAGATCGGTCGTGGATCCAGTCAGCAAAAGCAAAGACCCAACCAAATTACAATGGAGCATTTAAAGACCTGGAAAGTAATCGACATAGTAAACATAGTAAACAAATTTGTGGATGCTTATTTATCATAATAATTGTTCGAAATGCGTGTGCGTGCGTGCGGTGCGTGTATACAGAGATTAGGTTAGGTTGCACCAGACAATTGCAGATGTGTTTTAATGTGTTAAAGTAAATGCTGAAAGTGGCTGCCATTGACTTCCTGACAATATGCTAATCTTTGGTAGAATGTAGAAATGGCTTTACGATTCGTTTCAAAAGGTATCAAAGCCATTTCATTCTTTATTCGCTGTATCAATTCGTTAATGGTTTTAGGTTTTGTTCTGTAAACCTTACTCTTCAGGTATCCCCATAGATAATAATCAAGAGGAGTTAGATCTGGTGACCGAGGTGGCCAATCCTCTCCTCCCTCATTTCTGTTCACTCCTCATCTCCGTTTTGCAATTCTTGAACGTATTGCAATTTATATGGATGGAACTTATTCTTCTTTAAAATTCTCCAAACCGACATGGGAGCAATATCGTGAGTTTGAGCGACTCTCGGAACACTAGAATTGGGATCTTCAACAAATGTCTGCAGAACATCAAGTTGTTTTTTTTCGTCGGTTGCAGACAATGATCTTCCTGATTTAGAGCGATTTCTTACGCTACCAGTTTGTCTAAAACGTTCTATTGTTCTTAACACAGTGGACTTATTAATTCGACGGTTCGGATACGTGTCATTAAATAATCGAACGACATCAGAGAACGATCTTTCGTTATCACCCCATCCACGCATCATGAGGATAGTGATTCTTTCACGTTCCGACAACTCGCGAGCCATTTTTAAAACGTTTAATTTTAATTAATCGTACGTTGTATTTGGACGATAACAATTAATTTCTGCTTGCTCAAAGCTGCAGTTAGAAGGTGCTCGTTCTTTGATAGCTTTATACATTCTTAGTTGAATGTTAAATGCGAGTTAGACTGCATGTATCGTGCGTCACATAGCGGTAAATAAAGGAACTAACGAGATGTTTTATACACGTTTTATGGAGTAGTTTTTTTGGTAATTTGACTTCAGCGAAATATGAGGATATGTTGAGGAATCAGATACTTTCAGCAATACAAGCAATAACAGGTGAAAACTTCGATCAGATATGGTTTCAGTTGGGTCTTTGCTTTTGCTGACTGGATCCACGACCGATCTTGTCCTAGTTGGCTGGATCCACGACCGATCTTGTCTTATAGTTGACTGGATCACACACACAACAGATGCAAATCCGAGCGAGTAACCTCCATGTGGTATACCTTGAATAATGTTAAAACCGGCGGTACTCTAACGTTAAACCCTCATAACTCGCAAAGTACGTAATAAAAATGAACATTATTATAGTGCTTTGAAAAGCTCTTGAATTAAGCTATAAGAATATGCAATCAAATGTAGGGGGTGCTATTTAAAAAAATCAACGTGACCTTGACCTGACCTTGACGACGCCATCCAAGGTCAATCTGATAGAATCAGTATGTGGATCTTTTTAAACCCTACAACTTTTGTTCGAAACACTTTTCTGTAAAACGTATATTTTCCGAGATATTTAGGGATTGCCACACTTTTGGTAAACCCTGTATATATATATATATATATATATCACATTTAGAAGTCTAAAATTAAATTTTTCAAACCTTAAAATACCTCGAAAACTATAATACTTTTTTTTCTTGACAGTCAATTACAATAACACGTAAAATGATCGTGATATCAGACTTTGTCATATGCAGAAATGTGCAAAATACTATTTTATAGTTGTTGATTGATTATAAAGGGAAAAGATATAGTTTTCGAGGTATTTTAAATGTGTGCTAAAGCCATCCCCAAGGTGTTTCATCGAAATCTTTTTATTTCAAAATTGCATCTAAGAATTTTATAGTGTTTTCTCGCCTCTGATGAGATCTCATTATTCCAAACATGGTCGGATCGAAGAGCTAGGATGAGCTTTAAAGTTTAAATTGTTTCGTTTTCACAAAGTGTCAAATTTGTGAAAAAATATTCATATTTTTTTCAAAATTTCAATTTTGAAAATCTAAAAAATATTTAAACAACATTTTACAGTGATATTTAACGTACTGTCTATGTGAAGACTGTTTTATTTTTTTGTAACTCGTAACTATGCGTAATAGACAAATATTTTAGATAAATAAAATTATTTCTTAATAAAAACTATTCGAATATTTAAAATTTTATACTCCATCTTATTTAAAAAAATGAAGAGTCCTCTCATACGCACATATTTTTATCTCTCAAATGTTTAGGCAAAACAGCCTGTCACATTTAATTTTAAAAAATTGAAGCTGCAATGATGGAGAAAATTGCAGCTTGTAATACTTTGAGGCGTTTTCCATCAATGAGTCACAAATATAGACACAGTATCAGACACTGGAAAGTTGTGTTAAAGTTGCTTGTTGGAACACCAAGCTTGTTTAATTCTCAGTATAGTAATATATCGAAAATTCAATCAATCATGCGGATCCGATTATCTATCAGACTCGTACTGATACTTGTATATATGTACAAGTTGTATTTACAACTTGAAATTTCCCTATGTTCGTCAAATAATTGGCAGTCATGAATTAAACACGAAATCTCTCAACTCACCTTTTTAGCTGTGTATACTTGTGTCGAGGTGTGTCGTTGTTGAAAAAGCATTGTCTGTGTCTCTTGCTGGAAAACAACCTTTATGTAGGATCCTGTATATGAGCATGGAAATATTTATTCATTGCATACCGCATTTAAATATATATACTTCAACGATAACTTTTTTTGCAAAATGCATCTTCTTAATCTTGATGTGGCAATATGATGCAGAAAAATCCTTGTGTTAACATACGATGTATTACGTGTACGCTTAATTTATGTCGGTCGCGGGATGAAGCAGACCGTGATGAGGAGGGAGAGAGAGAAGGAACGGGGTATTATTGCGTAATACAGAGTCTGTGCAACAACATTGCATCCCGTTGATGTAACTCTCAAAAATACCTACGGTGCGTGCACTTACAGCATTTACACTTAACGATGATTGTACATATATACGCATCAATATGTACATCATATGCGTGAGCATTTGAATTTGCATGAGAATCACGTCGTGCGTTGTTTGCGGGAAACTCAAGGTAATTCTTTCAATGTCTATATAACGTGTTTGTGTTACCTTCAAGGTTTTCCTGCAACTCTGAAGATAAATAGATGAAATTAGGTTATCTGCACTCTAACTGTCGACAGATGAAGGACTATGAACTCATTGAACATTTACACATGTTTTCGTTGTATTACATATTGATGTTGTTTTGTAAATAAATATTGTACATTTATATATTTAGAGAAATAGAGAATTCTGTTATTTTTTTTCATCGAAGATAATAGGGTAGAAAATCACAGAAGGTAAAAACATAATAACATATATAATATGCACATAAAAACATGCAATTTACAAATTATACAGAGTGGTTCAAAAGTCCGGCAATAATCAATATTATCTCCGAAAATAGTGGTCCTATGAAAAAATGTTAAATTGTAGGGCTCAAAATAAGGCACTTGATGGTGACCTTGACTTTGATCTAGGAGTCCAATTTAAAGGTTATTTAAAGGTCAACTTAATTTTTTTTTAATAAAACCCTCTTTTTTCATTACATATTCTAGTAGCTTACTTCGAGAGCTTTCAAAACATATAATAAAACATTTTTTTATTAAGTACTTTTTGAGTTATAAAGGTTGGAAGTTTACAATTTTTTACATAAAATGTAAAATATCTTGCAAAATATTCAGTTTTTATCACAAAATGCTATTTTTTTTCAAATATAATATATGTAAAGTGCATAAGGCTAAATATTTAATCTGCTTTAGCTTCTCTAATTTTATTAATTTTTAAAATATAATTTCTTTAAAAAGATCATTCAATTTATATTTTAGCTTCTCTATATTTTGATTAATTTTTCCCGATATTTTGATTTTATTGATAGCAATTATAAATATCATAGACGATATGAAGAATATAAAACCCAGAATATCCAATAAATGTTCAGTTTTGGTTTTTGTTTAATCCAAAAAAGTTCATATTGATATAAGATAAACTTTTTAAGAATATATGCATAATTGAATGTTCAAAGTACATTTAGACGTTTTAAATATTTAAAAATATCTTATCTATACCTACCTACTTTAAAAAAATACGTTCAATGTTTGAAATAATTCCAATTCTAACAGTTTCAGAACAACGTTCCAATTTTAGTCCTTAAAATAGACATTTTTCGATTGCTCAGAAAAGTAACACTGCGGACATTTTTAAAATATCTCTAGATATTTCTAATACGTATAAAACGTCTAATTTTCGATATATGTTTTTAAAATGTCATTGTGATGTCTTGCGCCTCTATTATGGGATATAAAAAATAAAAATAAAATAAAATAAAATAAATAAAGTAAAAATCAGTAAAATATTAGAAAAGACCCTCCTATTATTTTCACGAGATTATCATTAAACCGCGAAAATTCGTGGCGTGTAGTTCACAAAATTTGCAGCGATTTACATCTCCGCGTCACTTTGCTACCTACGTAAGCTACTCGGTATAATGTGTGACGTCTTCCCCTCATCTCCGCGTGCAAATACATCAAACGAAAGGGGGGAGGAGGAGAGGGGGGGGGGGGATCGACATCTCCCTAACCCAACGACGTTGGCGAAGGCGTCGTGAATCAGTCTGTCGTGCATCGTCAAATTGTGATCGTCGTTGCGTGGCCATTTAACGTTGCACTCGGTGTATACAAACGTATATATATAATCATCTATACGTACGAAAATAATTTCTCTCTCTATCAAAAATCGAGCACAGAATTCTTTCTTCCGAAAAATAAACAAAAACAAGTTAAAGCAAGATAATAAAAATTGTTTTGGCCAGTTTTAACGATTCTTCTACAAAAATTTGAAGGAAAAGTATTTTTTTACTCTTATTTTTATTTTATATTAAATAAATTTTTCAATACCTTTGACATATAAACCTAACTGAAAGTTAAATTATATGTTTAATTGTGTGTGAAAAATAAGAGAACTAAACGCACAATTGTTTAGTATTCTATTATTGGATTTGGAAAAAGAAGTGAGGAAAGACAGTTCTATCGAACGTATATTTTTCGTGTATTCGTGATACATACATCAATATTATTGAACTGATTGTGACATCTTTAAAATGAAACGATTACTATTGCTCGCCCTTTTGGCCGTCGTAGTATTGTGCCATGAACCATTCCAAGTGATATTCGAGTGGAAGTCGCTCGACTTCGAGTGGCCATCGGAGGAAGAACGGACAGCCGCGTTGGTGCAGGGTGATTATATAGCGGCGAACAATATCCTCACCACCGTGAAATTCTGGCGGGGGAAGATGTATCTGACAATACCGCGGTGGAAGGACGGCGTGCCGGTGACGTTGGGCGTGACTTCCGCGAAACCAGTGAACGGAATGACGGCCCCGAAATTGGAGCCCTTTCCCAACTGGGACATGCAGAAGTTAGGCGATTGTTCGGCGTTCCAACTGGTCCACAGCGTGGAGATCGATCCTAAGGGTCGCATGTGGGTGCTGGATACCGGCCGGGCCAGATTCCAACAGGGAACCAAGTACGACTGCCCAGCACGACTGGTGATCCTCGATCTGGAGGACAACGGTAAGGTTCTCCGTAGCTACGAGTTTCCCAATCAAGTGGCTCGCCGCGGCGTGACGTATCTCAACGACATCGTTTTGGATCATGAGAACGGAGGCATGGCGTACATCACCGACAACGGCCACGACGATCCCGGCATCATCGTGTACTCCTTGCAGAACAATACCTCGTGGAAAATTCGACACGAGTCCATGAAGGCGGACTCAGACGCGATCGGATTTATGGTGGGGAAGACTCACGTGCACGATGCTGTGCATGTAGACGGCATAGCGCTTTCACCGGCAAGCAATGACAATAGGTACTGTCTGCTAAAGCCAAGTTTTTTCTTAGGGAAAGTTAATCCAAAATCGTAACGAATACTAAAAAGTGTGTAAATTACACAAATTGCTTCCTCATTATTTTATTTTTCTGTTATTAAACTTCCTCCGCAGAAGCAAGCTGGTTTTTCAATTTTGGCTTCCTCATAGAATTTCCTATACAGCACAGAACATTGCAATTACATTGCAGCAATGTTGCAATCTTGCAGCAATGTTGCCCAATCTTGCTGATTTTTCAATTTTAACTTCCTCATAAAAAAGGTAAGAATCTTCTCTCGACCGTACTGGCAAATATTATTTATTCAATCACAACGTTTTGACCCTTCTTTGAGTCCTTATCAAGTGATCTAGATATACATAGACAGAGATTAATACAATAAAAAACAAAATTACTTTACTAACAATATTACAAAATGATAAAAAGAAGCAAAACATACTTGTAAAAATAAAAATAAAATTATAATTTTAAGATGTCAAGAACGAACATAGTGTCGGTTTGACAACACGTCAAGATTCTTAGACGAGTTATTGGAGACTAAACGATCTTTATTATTTTGTCGTAGATATTACTTAGATTGTCGGTATCCTTTTGTCCATTAATAGCGTTATTATTTTTCTTAATAAAAAACATTTCAGCGATTTCTCTTTTTCTTACGTGTTTTTCACTATGCAAAATAACAGGCGAAGTCCAGTCAAAATCGTGATCGAATTCAATTTTATGTTTGCTGATAACTGATAAATTACTCGAATGCATTTTGATGTTGCTGAAAACATAAAATTGAATTCGATCACGATTTTGACTGGACTTTGCCTGTTATTTTACATAGTGAAAAACACGTAAGAAAAAGAGAAATCGCTGAAATGTTTTTTATTAAGAAAAATAATAACGCTATTAATTTACAAAAGGATACCGACAATCTAAGTAATATCTACGACAAAATAATAAAGGTCGTTTAGTCTCCAATAACTCGTCTAAGAGTCTTGATGTGTTGTCAAACCGACACTATGTTCGTTCTTGACATCTTAAAATTATAATTTTATTTTTATTTTTACAAGTATGTTTCGCTTCTTTTTATCATTTTGTAATATTGTTATTGTAGTAAAGTAATTTTGTTTTTTATTGTATTAATCTCTGTCTATGTATATCTAGATTACTTGATAAGGACTCAAAGAAGGGTCAAAACGTTGTGATTAAATAAATAATATTTGCCAGTACGGTCGAGAGACGATTCTTACCTTTTTAAATTCTGTCTGGCGATTCTCAAATATCTACGTTTTTATTTCCTCATAAAACTTCCAATACTCCAAAGAACATTGCAATTACATTGCAGCAATGTTGCAATCTTGTAGCAATGTTGCAATCTTGCAGGTTTTTCAATTTTGGCTTTCTCATAGAACTTTCCATACAGCACATTGCAGTAATGTTGCAATCTTGCAAGTTGCAATGTAACATTGTAGAGATATTTCAGGAACATACAAATATTTCATGAGAATGCAACATTCCAGAAAGATTATAAAAAATATGATTTAATAATCGCTAGTTCTTTTATCTACCGCTATGCGGCGCGCGATTTTCTATCTATCTCGTATTTAAATTTTAGATAGAATTACATAATGTAATAGCATAATTTTATTTGCAACTGTGTGCATCTTATTATTAAAATGCTACTATGCAATAATTTTTACGTTTGTATTGTATTTTAATTAAAATGTTATCATTGATATACAGTATGTGCGTATGACATATATGTATACACTTCACAACATTATATCGTATTAAATCTTCATTAACTAATAAAATATTTGATATATAAGTTATGGTCAAAGCCCGATGAGCGCGCGTTTTTAGAATTGACTGATCAATCCTGCGAAACAACCAAGCGTGTTGGTCAAAATTCGAAATACTTTTTTGTGTTTCGGCTTTTGACTAATACGTTTTTAGTCAATCCTAGGAATAACTAATATGGCTGGTTCAAGTTAGAAACTAAAAGAGTCACTTTTTGCATTTGCACAATTTAGAGTTACATTTCTTGTTACAATTACATTTTTAAAGCCTTGACCCCCAAACTTTGAATCTTTGATACTAACTTCTCTTAATGATAATTCTATATGTCAACAATATTAAATAAATTTTCCTTACATTCTTGTATCTGATTCCTTGAGAAAAGTATATTTATAACTGTCAAATGTATTGTGCAATTCTAAATGTCATAAATCGACTGATTGCCAGAATAAGTAATATATTTATTATAGATTTAGGATATTTCGATAATTATATTGCTTCATTTTGTTATATTACATATATTACGTACTTTCAAATATTTTATAATATTCGCTATACATGCCAATAAAGTTTCTTATAGCGTGTCTAATTTGAAAATGTTTTTTTTAATGACAAGACGATCAAAATTCTGTTTTTTCTCGGGTGATCGCTGCAAGACAAGATAATTTTATTTTATACTAATTATTAAAAATATTAAAATATTTATGTATATTTTTAAAAAGCGTTTTGTTTTAAATAAATTTTGTCATTTTGTATTGATATATAATATTTTACTAAAAGTATATTTTTAAACTTTAAGAAAAATAACTACAAAAATAAAGTAACTTACAAGCTATATTACATATGTCAACAATAAAAATATCGCAGTCAAAAATCTTGGTTATATTTTTTTAACAGTCAAAGTCCGAATTAAGCCATACATTTAAGATTGACTAGTCAAACTCCGAAGTGATTTTTTTAGTTTCTAACTTAAACCAGCCATATTAGTTATTCCTAGGATTGACTAAAAACTTACTAATCAAAAGCTGAAACACAAAAGTATTTTGGACTTTGACTAACACGCTTGGTTGTTTTGCAGAGTCAATCCTAGGAACGCCCGCACATCAGGCTTTGACTATAACATATACATTTCAAAAAAGCGATACAGTAGAAAAATAGAAAAAATGTGAAACTTCAAATATTTATAAGCAAATATTTATAACGCTAATAATTATGATATTAAAGTGCTTCGAAAACGAAAATAAAGCTTGAAATTTGTATTTTGAGAAAATTTTAATGTTGATTACGTAGAATAATCAATTTTTTGTCATGGCAAATGATAGAATAATAATTTGCAAAATTGATTAATAAAAAGACTAATTGACGTAATTTGATGGGATAAAAAGCGCGCGAAAGTTCAAATTCTTCCCTTAAAAATGTGCTTTTGCAGAACTCGACACGATTATTTTTTGCTGAGTTGTGTAAATCTGAAAAAAATTGATTTTATTACGTAAGTTATGATTTATATATTTGCTAATTCAAAATGTTTCGAAAACTTCGAGAAGTTCTTGAAAGAGTCTGCAATAAGATGGACAAAAATAAGGGCAGTGTAAGAATAAGTATATGTTTCGTCATATGAAAGAGATAATACGAGTCTGCGGAAAACACACACATATAATTAACATACATTTTATCTTCAACATACAAACACACTTCATTAATTCAATGGAAAATAACACTATAGTATATAACCAAAAATTATTTTAAACTATAGACAAAGTTCTTACATTTTTGGATACTGAAAACGATAAGAAAATCCAAATTTCACTAGCATGTCAAATTTCTAAAATAATTAAGGTTTAAGGGGTTATACCTACCTATGTGAGGTCGAAAAAAACATGTATTTTTAGGATTTTTTTAACTAAAAGATTTTTTAAAATAAATGATTAATCATTCAAATGTACATTTTGAAGATTCTATAGTATTTTTTTAATTACAAAATAGCCTAGTTTACATCGTAGAAACTTTTGATACGGATATCAAACTGATCCGAATTAAACGTTAGATACGCTCTTGTTTACATCGATCGTATTAAACTTTTTTTGCAAGACACTTTTAGCATGATATTTATTCTTCGTACACAAATATTTGTATTAACTACATTAACCTGTAAATTAACTATTACGATACGCCATAACGATGACAGTTTTTTTTTTTTTTTTTTTTTTTTTTAAAGAAACATACGTATATCAGCGTTTACACCGCGTTGAGAATATTTAATACGTGTATTAGTTTGGTCTGATACTCACTGCTTTCGAATATCGTACTATTCTGATACGCCAGCATTTACAGCGTCAATACCAAACAATTTAATACAAAATATAGTACTTAAAACGCGTATCAAGTGTTCAGTGTAAACTAGGCCAATATAAAAAACAAAATATCATAGTGATCTCCCCAAGAACATTTTTGTTGTAAGTTTTTTGCGGTGACCACTGTAGCTTTGAGCTCGCTTATCTGAAATGAAAAATTCGAGCGAATTTATAGTTAGTACATTAGTTTATCTAGTGCACGATCGATTATCTCGAAAAATTAATTTGGGACAAAATGGCGGTTGTTTAAAGTTAAAGTATCGATTTTCGACCAAAAAATCGTTTATTTTATCTGTAAAAAACTACGCAACGAAAAATAAAAAGCAACGATCGGGCACTAGATAAACTAATATATATACTAACTAATTTTGCTCGAATTATTCATTTCAGATGAACGAGCTCAAAGCTACAGTGGTCACCGCAAAAAACTTACAAAAAAGTGCTCTTGCTGATATCTTTTTTGTTTTTTAATATTTTGTAATAAAAAATACTATAGAATCTTCAAAATGTATACATTTGAATAATTAATCATTTTAAAAAATTATTTTTAAAAATCTTTCAGTTTATTAAAATAAAAGATTCGTAAAAATACATGTTTTTTTCGATCTTACAGGTAGGTATATAACCTTTTAGTGTGTAAAAACTGGCTTTTTGCGATATTTGAGATTTTTTTGTGAAAAAATTAACGTTTTGATCAAATATAAATGTATATTCAACATATATATTTGTATGTATATCGATTGTAGAGCCTACTACGATATCTTTTTGCGTCAACGAAAATTAATTATTTGTTGGTTAGGAATAGTATCCTTGGTTTGGATTTCTATATAATTCCTGTGTTATCCCA